GGAATTCAGGAGATTATCATACCTTTGGGGTCCTCGGAGTGAAGACCATGATACTTCTGGCATTTTGAAATCACCTCTGATAATTTTATAACTGAAGGGAAGATTGGCTGTAACATTAAAATTTTGCTGAGCGTATTATAATATAATATATATTTATTCCTATCTATGTAGGACACACCAATTGTACAGGCATGGATAAGTATTATTCACATTACATGAATTTGATTTATGGTGAAATTACATGGTTGCTGTCTTTTCTGATATTAGTTTGTGCGTACAATCTGCTAGCTAGTCATTCAATGGGGCACATTAAGAGATATAGAAATATTGTCTTCGCATTAGCAAAATACCCAAGTAGGTGTTGCATGGAATACAAATATTTGGGAAAAAATAAAGCTTGAAGTCAGTTCCTCCATATAACTTTGTTATGTGCGGCATCGTATCTTAATAATAATAATATATATTTATTCCTGTTTATGCAGGAACATACCAATTGTACAGGAATGGATAATTTATTATATAAATTACACATATTTCGATGTATGTTGAATTTACATTTTTTTGTTCTTTCTGACTCTAATGTCGGGTCACTAGAATACCTGAGGCCTAAGTCAACGACACCTCGGAGTCTGGTTAGGTTAGCAGATTGAAACGTCAATTTCATGTCGATTGAGGATGCGCCGAAGCAGATCCAACCACATTTGTTCAGCTTTAACTGTAGATTCCATAGAGACAACCAAGCAGTCACTTTATCTAATTCTTTCTGCACAACATTCTCAAATTACCCTAGGTCATCACGCTGGAATGTGTAAGCAACTTTTAAGTCATCTGCAAAGATGAATGGTTTCCCATGTGCGAAGCAAGCGCATATGTCGTTGATATAAAGTGTAAATAGGAGGGGCCCAATAACACTACCTGGTACTACACCAGAAGTGATTGGGCTAGGTATGGAAGTTTCTGAATCAAGTCTAAATATTTGAGACCTGTTCTTGAGGAATGATTCAAGCCATCCTAATAGTGGGTCATGTATTCTCAAGGAGTTCAGCTTATGTATTAACAGTAAATGGTAGACGCGGTCAAATGACTTAGAAATATCAAGGTAGACGACAAGTACCAATTGTCATCTGTCACGACTGCTGGTCACAAAATTAAAGAATTCTAGCTGGCATGCTGAGGAAGATATGGATTTAAAGAATCTGTAGTGGTAAATAATTCTCCAAAATTATTGACCACAGCAATCATCACCGAAAATCGGATGCTGACCCTCAATGTTGAAGTCGACTTGTTACCCCTAAAACACGCGGGGATATTTCTCAAGAGACGTTAGTACCTTAAACGGCTTATCCTTATTACGCTTATTATCATACTAGTGCTTGATTGCTGTAACTAAAAAGACAAATACATATGTCAAGTACCTGAAACACACGCATTCAATTGGAGATGAATTCTTCAAATATACCGCAGATTGGGGTCAATGTCATAATTCTCAGTATCCAATGGCTGTATTAAAAGGTGTTCATAATACACGAGTTAAGTTCTCAGCATTAGAATAGCACCTTTGATTAAGCACTACTTTTATACTCGCATAAGTTGCTGTCGAAATACACAAGTTAAATCATTAATAGTAGTTCATCCTCTATGGTAACCTAGTCCAGTTAGCTAGCTTGCTGGTTTTCTAGCCGATCCCAAGCCCTGGTAAAGTGGAAAGGTGGGACATGCGGTTAGCAGTCCCTCATCACTTTACCTATCAAACCGCCAGAGAAACTTCATATTACAGAAAATATATTAAAAATACAGAGACTTAAAATAACTTATTCTTCTCTCGAATCGGAGAGACGAGATGACGCGGGCTGGTGAAAGCCTTCGTGAAGCCAGTCAGCCAGCAGATGTGTCTTCTTGCGATTAAAGCAAGAATGGGAATGAAGATGTAGAATGCACGAGGCTGGAAAAGCTGCCCATGTAGCCAAAGAAATGCTAAGATATGGCATAGAAGTACTGGGTATCTTTGAGGGCAAATGGAATGGAAGTGGACTGTCGAAAATGTCAACTGGACAGTCAGTAATCTACTCTTGTCACACAGACGACGGCCACGAGCGCACTGAGGCAGTTAATGGCTACAAGGGTGTCATCACTGGCAGCCAGGACCCTAATGCAGTAAGGACCGGTTTCAACCAGGACCATGGTATTTTTATGTGGTTGTGTTCTCTGAGCTGGATAATTAATTCGCGAAGCTCAGAGAACACGACTACATCAAAATCATCCGCATGAGCTACAGATCTCCGTCATATCTAGGACCATGACAGCAAGATTCAACTGAAATGAACGAAGAAAGCTTATGATCATACAGTGCTACAAGCGATGTGGAACAGGAGAAGATTCTGACAGACAACTACAAACAGACAACATCCCAAATGGTGACATCAAAATCCTCATGGGCAATATGAATGCCAAACTGGGATCTGATAATACAGAAAAAGAACTCATCATGGATCGAGAGGCTGTCGGAGAAATGAATGAGAACGGAGAATTATTCGCAGACTTCCGCTCTTTCAACTACTTGGTGACCGGAGGGAGCGTGTACAAACACAAAGATATACACAAATCAACATGGATTTTGCCTGACGGATTTACCGCAAACCAGACAGATTTCATCTCAATGTTGCTCAAGGAAGTGGAGACGCAGCCTGCTGGATATAAAGTTGAGAAGGAGAGCAGATGTGGCTTTAGACCATCATCTAGTTCAAGGTGAAGCTGAAATCCTTCAGAACAACCGGAGACAGACCACAATTCAAGTTCAACACTCAAAAACTGAAGGACAAAACTACAAAGGATGCCTTCACTACAGATATCAGAGCAAAGTCGGAGACACTACATGGCATCATTGAGGAAGAACATTGGGACTCTTTGAAGGCGATATTCAAGGAAACGTGTACAACTGTTCTAGGGAGAAAGAAGAGACACGACAGGAAATGGCTGTCAACAAATACCTGGAAGCTAATCGAGTGGAGGAAGATGGTGAAAGAGAAGACAACTCAATGCAAAGATGGACAATGGAAGGAGATGCTGAGTTCAGTGTGAAGAAGAGTGCTCGGAAAGACAAACAACAATTCTATGACACATTGGTTAATGAAGCAGAACAGGCAGGTCCCAGGTTAAAGAGGTCTCAATACATTACATCAGATAACCAGCTCTCTATCCGGAGAGAGACAACCCAGATGATGAAACCTATAAAAGATGCTCAGGGGAACCGTATTACCAAGGAGGAGCAACAAATAAAACAATGGACTGATCACTTTAAGGGACTCTTGAATCGACCATCACCTGTGACTCACCCGGAAATACCATCAACAGCACGCACACAACCGGCTGCCAGTTGACACCAATTATCCAACGAAAGCAGAAGTGCTGGATGCGATTAAGCTACTGGACACCGGTCGAGGAAGTAGCAGGACCAGACGTAGCTCTCCTCGAAGCACTGAAAACGGACCGAGAGGCTGCCGCAGATGTGCTCACGTCATTTCTGCAGAAGGTCTGGATAGAAGGAGAGGTGCCCACTGATTGGAAGATTGGCTAGCTACCTAATCAAGCTACCAAAGAAGGGCTACATAGGCCTGTGCAAGAACTGGTGTGGAATCATACTCTTGTGCACGTCAAGTAAAGTACTAAGCCACATCATCCTGGAGAGAAAAAAGATGCACTGGATAGAGAGATCCGCCCGACGGAACAAGCTGGATTCAGGAAAGACAAGTCGTGTGCAGATCGAATTCCAACTCTACGCATCGTCATCGAACAAAGCATAGAATGAAAGTCAAACCTCCACCTCAGCTTTATCACTTCGAAAAGGCCTTCAACAGCGTAGACCGAGAAGTAATTTGGAAACTACTTCAACACTACTGTGGGCAGGCCTAAGTAGCCCTTCTTTGGTAGCTTGATTAGGTAGCTAGCCACTCTTCCAATCAGTGGGTACCTCTCCTTCTATCCAGACCTTCTGCAGAAATGACGTGAGCACATCTGGGGAGACCTCATAACCGTCTATAAGATCTTAAATGACCAGGCCCACCCTAATAAGAGCATGCTGCCATTAAGTGATTATAGGCTTCCACGAGGTAACCCGCTAAGGATAGCACACCAGAGACCAAAGACTCGAGTGCGTTCACATTTCTTCTCGCTTCGAGTTTGCCGTCTCTGGAACGCTTTACCGGCAGCCGTAACTACAGCTCCATCTGTGGAGACTTTTAAGCGGAAGCTGGACAATCATGCAGAAATGCATGGTTTGTGTCTCAATGGCTTACCCTCTTAAAATTTGAAACCACATTGTCAATGGATAGGCATACAAGCTAGATCCCCACGACCCGTCCTGTCTTCTCCCACTGTACCGACTACTCTATCTTTTCTTTGGTCACCTTTATTATTTCACCTTTATTATTTCACTTATCTCAACCTACATTATCTACACTACAACCTATTATTATTATTATTCTACTTTTATGACTACACCGAATGACCAACGGGTGTTAGGTCAAACTCCATTCACGGCAGCAGCTGAGTCCTAACATATTGCACACTACAAACCACAATCTTGACCAATCCTCGCACCACTCCTCTTGGAGTCTACCAGAGCTAAAGCAGTCGAGTGGTGGGATTTACTACGCATAAGTTCACCGAAGATCTGGAACCTCTACCTTACAATCAAGAAGCGAGCTCAAAGAAATCACTGGTTTATACTAGCTCGTAATCAGGATATTGGATGTCCCACCTTTCCACTTTACCAGGGCTTGGGATCGGCTAGAAAACCAGCAAGCTAGCTAACTGGACTAGGTTACCATAGAGGATGAACTACTATTAATGATTTAACTTGTGTATTTCGACAGCAACTTATGCGAGTATAAAAGTAGTGCTTAATCAAAGGTGCTATTCTAATGCTGAGAACTTAACTCGTGTATTATGAACACCTTTTAATACAGCCATTGGATATTGAGAATTATGACATTGACCCCAATCTGCGGTATATTTGAAGAATTCATCTCCAATTGAATGCGTGTGTTTCAGGTACTTGACATATGTATTTGTCTTTTTAGTTACAGCAATCAAGCACTAGTATGATAATAAGCGTAATAAGGATAAGCCGTTTAAGGTACTAACGTCTCTTGAGAAATATTCTCGCTTGGTTTTTGGGTAATATATGTAACTTCGGAGTTAATGCTGAATTTTAGCTATATTTCCTCATTTGTTTCACATTGTCCTGCTCTAAAGTTATCCTAAGATGTTTTATTCGAGTTGGCTGCAGTTAAGTTTGGTGACCAGCTCCTAGTGTGAATATGTACGTTAAAACTTCACACCTGGTCGGGTTTGAAAGAAGAATAGTAGAGAGCACATACTTGGAATGAAAGAGCTGGTAACCATTTGATACTCTAACGAATTAGGGAGTTTCAATTTTCGGTACGATGCTGTTGTACATACTCATTTGCTTAAGTAAAGCTAGTGCAGGTTGCAGTAACAGCTCCAACCGGGGCATTCTGCTTAATATGACTTTCGCACGATATATAACTGTTCTAGTAACTATATGTCTAATACACTGCCCAGTATACCTTACAATAAGTCTTGTTGCCAGTCCTTTTTCCCAGGAAGGACCAAACAATTTACAATTGCTCCGGCTTGGAAGTATATATATATATATATGTATATATATATATATATAAAGTCACCTAAACAGCTTCAACGAGAGACTTTGTGTGCTGCGGCGTCCAGTTTGCCTCTGTCAAATGTAAGATGGCTCAGTAAAGCTGGTCTTCAGCGCCTCTCTTATTAAGACAGTGAGATTTCCCTTTTATTTCATTTGTGTGGTAGTAAATCACAGGACTTGTAAGCCCACGGTGATCACTGATATGAATACAAAACACTTTGGGAGAGAATGTGTATTCAGAAGTGTGTCAACTATTACACAGTGGTTTAGCAGAATAACCGTGTAATTTTAAAAGCTCGAATCAATGGACAGACTAAGTATTGATCCTTATACTAAAAGTAGTTGAACTCGATCTCTTCACTTTTTTGGGAAGTCATATCAGCCCTGAAAGACCAATTGTGGATGAAATCTTAGCATGGATACTAAAGGCACATTGTGGTGCCTCCCAACAAACAATTTTTGGAGTAGATGTCGTATCCCACTATCAACCAAATAACGTGTGTACTGCGCAGCAGTTCTCTGTCTTCCTTTATGGCTATGAGACACGACCGTTAAAAGTGAAGGATGTAAATATGTTAGCTGTATGTGTCCACATATGTCCGTGTTACATCTCCTGTGTTAAGTGGCTTATGATGAGTAATATTAAGGTTGTGGGGTATTAGGTAAAGAAGGTAAGGCAAACGGGGTTGTAAAACTACATCGATTGAAGCAACTGGGATGTCGTGTATACGTCCAGAAACTGCCTTCCTCGACGAGCAATGTTAGTTGACAAAGGATTAGATTGAAAAAGAGTTAGGCGTGGCCAAACCACAACTAATCATCAACCCATGAGTGCTTTTACAGTTGATTTGAGAAGTGTAGACTACCTTGTTGCGGACATCGGTGCTAAGAACCAGTGACATGACTGTTGGGTACATCAATCGATGGCGCAGATGCATTCACTCTTTGTAATATCCTAAATACATCATATTTGTGTGCTTTTGGAATGACGCTCAGGAGGGCTTAGATCTATCACATCCTCATGTGGTTGTGCTTTCTCCGGCATGTGTCTGCTCATTATAATTCTGTATCTTCGTGTGTTACAAGCAGTAAAGCAACTCGAAATGCTGTACATCTGTGCAAACTCCTATGGTAAAGCTTGGTCATTCGAAGTTGTTGTATAATTTGAAACAATTTCATTCTGACATGTAGCTTAACTAGTAATTTGTGTTGAGTTCTATGGCCTCCTTATTTTTGCGGAGTCATCATTATAAGATTCAGAAGTTGGAATTCAAATCTTTACATAGAATAGTCAGTGACTGGAATGCACCTCTGTGACGTATCAGCGACTCGTCACTGGACGCTTTCAAGACAAATGGATATCTGCAGAGATTTCTACTCTAAGGATTAACCAAGACTACTATTACTCAATTACTCAACACGTCATAATGACTGACATAATTGTATCATCAATCATATGGACGCTATTCAAATACTATAAAATGGGCAAATGTAGAACATAGTTGATTTTAAACAAGTCGAAGTATTGCAGTATTATTATTATGGTTCAGCGCTAGGGTAACCGCTAAGGAATGCTTGTTTTGCCTAGGAACAATGAAATCTAATTGAAAGACCGGAGTATCATTGTTCGTCACGAAATTTCATCCTGTTTTCGGTATCTACTGAATAGACCTGCTTTGTCTCTTCTCAAGAAGAAATACCAAGACTAACGCCATCTATGAATGGAAAGTTGCAAGAATTCAGAGGTAGTGTACATAATAGCTTTTTAAGTGGTAGTCAGGCGTGACGGGAAAAGTTAGTTATAGATAAGCGGAGAAGTGACACATGCCCATGAATTCTGTGGTGCTTGGTTTTCGGCTACGTAAAAGCTGGTGACTTGAGACTTTGTGTCGCTGAAACGACGTGTTGCTCATTCTTTATGTGACAGCCTAACACAATTCTCAAAGGTGCATTATATTCACTGATCACCACTACTTAGACGATTTACCTCATGATTGTTTCGTGTCTTTCTCTTATGTGCCGATTTTGCTATGACAGCAGGTGCTAATGCTCTTATATCCAGTATTCCACTTTGGTTTTTCTTGTTGTAGAGCATTGAGTAGTGACGTTAAATCTTATGTTCACAGTGACTCTGAGAGTTAAATGAGTTTCAATTTTTACTTAGGCTCTGTTTGTCCTATTGCAGTGATGAATGTTGACGTCAGATATTGACTATCATTAGGCATGGTTGAAAATCGTCACTGACTAAGAGATTCGAAACGTGTGCTACTCATGTGTGCACAAATTAATACGTGTGTCATCTTGATTTGTTTTTTCCGTCTTTGCAACATGGATATTTTAAGAAGCAAGGTATGGTGTAATTATAGCTATTGCTGTACGATGCAAAATATTAGCGCAAGATATATAAGCGAACAATATTGTTTTCAATTAGATCTTCTTCAGACTTTACTCTAATTTACATAGATTTATATATAAAAATTTTAACCAATGGTGATTTCGTGGGTCAAATAATAATAATAATGTCGTAAACGTCTTGGACGTCATTTATAATGATGATTATAATGATAACAAAACAATGATAATAAGGTTGATACAGGTGGTGATAAGAATAACAAAGGTAGTAATATGTGTATATGTAGACAGTTCAATAAATAAATTAGGTCAAATCTTACAAGTTACGTAATACTAGACGTGAAGTAGACAAATAATCAGGGTTTAAATAAAATATCATAAAAGTACGAAGGAAATGGAAAATAAAAAAAGGGTGGGAGGGTTTTAATTAGAATTTACTTAGGCCAAGGGGGAGAGAAAGGTATGACAAACTTCTTTGGTGTGCCAGGACTAGGATTGTTCTCTCGAATTCTCATAGCTTCGAATTCCGTTCGAAAGGCTCGGTGGAATGCGATAGATAACTTTGAAGGCACTACTTCTGTCCACTTGGTGACCGCTATCAATCAAATGAGTCAAAATAGAGCTCCTTATAGATTTTATGTGACCTCTTTCAAAACATGAAGGAAGATGCTCATTAATACCTTTGTTAAGTTGTCTAGTTGTTCGCCCTATATAGCTCTCTCCACAAGAGCAACTAAATTTGTAGATACACATAGAAGTGGCACAGCTAGGTAGCTTGTCTTTTGTTTGAGCAATCATAATTGATTGGCTGGAAAATGACAAACAAAGGGTGGCGGCAGTATAAGTCCGTTTTATTGCTCTCGATAATCTTAGATGTAGGACGTCACTAGCCACATCCCCACTAAATTGCAATTTTAGGAACAATTGTTTCTTATTAACTGTTGTCAGTTTCTCTTTATTATAACTGGTGGTGCTCATGTCTCTTTACATATTTACTAGGATAACCCAATTAGACCAGCGTATTTTGGATGTATCCTAACTCACTTCCTAGTGAGTCATCTGTGCAGATCCGTCTTACTCTATTTGTGAGGCATCTGACTAAATTGATTTTGTATTGGATCAGTACAAAATCAATCATTATAATCACCATTATCAATGACTTTCAAAACATTTACGACATTATTATTATTATTTGTTCCACAAAATCACCATTGGTTAGAATTTTTATATATAAATCTATGTAAATTATAGTGAAGTCTGAAGATCTAACTGAAAACACTATTGTTCGCTTATATATCTCGTTCTAATATTTATAATACGAATATTTAAAGATTCGAAATAAAGTAAGCTAACACGAAATGGATTGTCGCTCGAAATGCTATAATCTCTAAAAGCAGCTGCAGAAATTTGACTACTTGGTCTTCGATATTTTTCTTATCCGTTAGGACCAGTGAATGAGGGACTGTGAGAATAGGTTCCAGGTAATAAAAGTTAACACTCTTGTCAGTGACGCGAACTTTTGCAAATATGTTGTAGTCGTGGATTCTCTTAAGCAAAAGTAAAGTGATTAGACTGAAATTTGGTGGTCTTGATTGTGTGCGGAAATTGCGTCTAATTGTCTAGGCTAAATAAATAATCAGACTGTCGACAAGAGAGTGACACTGTAGTCCTGACTGACTTCAAGTGTAAGTTTTGGTCAGCTGCGTACACGTGGACCAAAAACTCACTTATTTTAAAAGTATCAGATCATATATAATAAACCACTAAATCAGAGCTTTTATCACTTTAAAATCGTTTATTGTGTCTTCGCTCACCGTTTTTCTAATGCATTTTAGGTGCATGGAAGAATACCCTTATTGTGTGAAAAACATTTTTGCACACAGTTCATTCTCAGAGAGACAACTATCGTGCACCACTCAACCTCCGATGCAACAAGCGAATGGAAGTCTTTTAAGTTTACCAGGACTTCCTCCATACCAGTCACCGCATAATTCGTCACTAGGAGGTCCATGCAGAACCAAAAACTCGGCACCAAGCAGTACATCATGTTGATTTCTGTAAATTTGTTCATTAGGTCCCTCAGCTGGTACTCTGAAAACGTCATTATGCGAAGTAAATTTGGAAGATGTCCCAATGGAACTTGTGACCTCTGAGGAAGACTGTAAATCTGAGTATACTGATACTTCCCTATCAACATGCAATGATTCGGTAGACGATTCAGTTGTTGAGCACGTAGGTTTATGGTGTTTAATTATTTCTAATTTCTCAAGTGTACTACAGAATTGGATGAAATTGAACTCAGAAGTCGCGCCCTAAGGAGTATGCTTTTACAGAAGAAAACTACCACAACAGACGCAGCACAATCAAAACCTGATATTCTATCTAGTCATGATGTATCCACGATCAAGTATGATCATTCGAAAGTTGAGATATCATGTGACTCAACTGCAAGACAAAGACAAAAATTTGTGATAACTTTGAATGATTCGTCTGATAGTGATGACTCACTTACTTACTCTGTCGGGGCTGTTTTTAAGGGTACAAAAGCCAATAATTCTGCAAATGAATCCTCTAATGTTGTAAACACTAGTAATAACTCATCAAAAATTAGTCGTTTTCATCAAGAAGAGAAATTGTTGTTACAACGTAAAATGGAGCTGCTCAGACTTAAATTAACAGTTAAGCGACAACAGAGCTTAATTGATGAGCGACGCAAAATCGTTCGAAAATTGTCAACTACTTTGTCAGAACTTCGTAAGCGTATCAAAGATACTACTTCGTTGTACAAAGAAGCTAATAAGTCTCTACAGAAAGCTCAGCGTACAAATGTCGCTTACCAAAGGAAACTGGCCACAGCCCAAAAGTTATATTCTGATGCGCTTAACTCTGTAAATCGTTCTACTGCTGATGTAATTAAAACAGGCTTTGCCCTTTCTTCTGTGAATTTGCGCAGAGATCTCATTGTTCTGTCCCTCGGTGTCCTACAAAGAGCCAAAGTTGTCACGTGGTTTCTTGCACACTACAGGCTCGATTCGACGGCTATAAAATGCAATATAGAATGTGTTAAGCCATCATCTGAATCAAAAAATGAACCAGAGACTCCTAATGTGCTTGATCCATTTCGACCAGTATGTCCATTTTTTCTAAATGGTGAATGCTTAGATAAGACATGCATATATCAACACTTCAAAAGTTCAACTAATCATACTAAAGCCAAATCAAAGAGTTATCCACGTTTACCTACAAAAGGAGGCTTGGTTTCTCCATTATTTGATTATGAACAAAGAGGGAAGTATGATGATAAACTTTTTTGTGAATTGTGTGACGAAAATCTGGTCACACCTTCATCTGATTCTTGTCAGACACCAGCATTACAACGTTGGCATACGGCTTATCTAGCCTACTTGTGTTCAAAAACAAAAAAACAATTCTATGATAAATTATTTAGTGACTTCAAGGAATGTGGTGCAGATTTATGTGCACACTTGATATTCGGACTTCTGCTGAATCCCAGCCTAGATAGATTACCGGTTGAAGACAAAATTGTTAACTGTTTGAAATCATCTGGTTTCCCTTTAGATGCCCTCAAGACAGTATTACGACATCCTCGTATTAGTATACCTATTCGAAAGTCAATTATGAAGACTTCTACCGAATACTTAGTTTTACAATTTCAGCAAGACAACAATCAGAGCTCAAATATCGAGTCATCTTTCATATACCTCATTTATCAGAGATGCCTTCTTGAACAAGAAGTTGGTTCACATGATAAAGTGGAGATCATATTAATAGATATTTTACAGGCGCTACCTAAAGAGAGCAAACTTATGTTTGTATTGTGGTGGTTGCGTTTACATCACCAATTGATTGGTGTTTTGCCCCCGGAAAATCTATCATCCACTGCGAATATGCCATACTTCTCCAAATCAGTTCTCTTATCCAATCAGGAGCTAATTGAAGCAGCAGTCAATGAAACGGGTATTTCCGAAAACTTATTCAAACTGTTGGAATTATTTTCAAGCAACAGCAGTAGCAGTACTATATTCACCTGCTTTCTTTCTGTTGTCCATTTGTATATACAAACTCTAAACGCGAATTCCAAATTTAAAGTTGCTGCAGATACAGCGCTTTCTGTAGCTTTGTTCTCTACTGAGTATGTAGATGATTTATTTTTCCCGTCTGCAGTATATTCTCTATTCTGTTTGGATTCTTCTCTTGATTGGACAGCGATGATTGCTAATATACCTGATAAATTAAGGGTGAATATTAAGTTGGAGCACCGCATAGAATTTGGATTCTTGTTAACATGTCTGAATTGGCGTAAAAAACCATTGGGCTGCATGGAATCTCATCTTATTGAATGTTTAGGCAATTTAATTTTTCTTCCTAAAGATGACAATGAAAGTATTATTTCGGCGTATAAAGATTTGTTGAACATAACACCTATTGATACTAGTGTGAAAAATTTTGAGCTCAGTCCACGAAGTTCTACGTATTTGTGGCTTAGCTATTCTTTGTATATTTTTCTACATTCCTTAGATTATCGTGCAGCTATGGACCAACTATTGGTGCACTATAAATCATGCCTTGAAACCTGGGGAAATGAAGCCAGAAATCATACTTTCATTCGTCTCTTAGCTTTAATGATTATCTTTTTGGCGAATCATTTAAATCAAAGTGACAATTTGACTTACTTTAATATGATAAGGTCACTATTTATAGATAATCCTTTACAACTAAATCGTCAGGTGCTTCCAACTTACTTTCTTGAATTGGTTCAACAAATTAATGTAGGTCTTCTTCCTCCTGGAATCCGTAGTGATATGTGTGTACAGCTTGTTGAAACGTACGGTTCACGTCTGGTCCCTTCATTATGTAGAACTTTATGTGCTGTAGGTGATCATTTCTTGGCTCAAAGCTTGTGTGCAATTGGATGTTTAGACAAACCTGACGACGAAGACTTTTGGCTTTTATATGCATCCATTTCATTTAATACCCTATCACGTACGAAGTCATCTGAACAACTATCAACTCTTTTGGAAATCCTGACAAATGCAACCACAAGGGTGACTTCCAGCTGTCGTCTGTGGAAATATTATGCGCTTGCTGTTCGGATTGCAAATGTTTCCGTTGGACCAATAACAAATCGTGCCAAATCTGCTGGGATGTACGAGCTTATTTCAAGTGGCTTAAAAGAAGATATTCCCACAAGTTTATTATCAGCAACTGGATTTCTGTGTAGTGAAAAATCTGGCAAGAAAAAGTTCAATTAAACATCGAAAGTAAGTCTTACGTTACTTTAGATGAGTAGTTTTATAGCACTGTCGCCCTATGGACGCAGTGTTACATTCAACGTTGATAACTGATTTCATTTACTGTATATGTCCAATTTTTTATCCAATTCAGTGATTTGCTAGTTATTTCAACAAAGTTGATCGGCACATCAGTCTACTCTCTACATCAAATATTCCCTAATTAATTGTAGGTGAATCCATCAACATAAACCACTGATAGCCTGCGAGCATAACCGTGCAAATTTGACAAGATAAAAGAAACATTGCTGGAAAATACAAGTGAAAATATATGCAATCAAAACATTTTACTTATATTCTCAGGTATTCATTTTCTTTGCTTTATATATCGCCATAGTCCCTATAATTCGTAATTACCTCAGATCAACAGTTGAAAACTTCATAGATTTTCATATTTTAATAGCTGTTCTGACATTTGTTTATCTTTTGTGATAACAGATGCACCGTCACAACTAGGCGGTATCTCTTGTCTCATAGAAGTGTTGCTGTAAATCAAAAATGTACACAAATTACTGGGTTCACTCAATTCCTAAGATACTTCAACATTATCTAGGATAATAATAATAATGCTCTACAACTGGCTAACTGACTGAAGAATCAACGTAAAACTTCGCACAATATAACTTTTCAAGGTAATATATGTCACAAGTGGCAACTCGAACTGCTGCACTTCGGTGCCAAGTTCTATGTTGAATCCAGCAGCAGCAGCAGCAAGTGCACCTGCGCCATAATGATCGAGTTCGAACCACATCATCTAAAGTCTCCAGTCTTCAGTTCCGAATAACTGGCGAGCGAAGACAGAAAAATCACCATAGGACTTTTCATGGGTATAATCCAGTTCAACTCGCCATACCCAAATAGCACTCATAAGAAGAAACTGTTGTCACGTACAAACATGAGTTTCAGAAGAGGCCTCTTCATCATAAGTTGTCGGGCTTTATGAATTTGTCTCACACTTTAACTTGGTCACTTAGTGTATATTTTTCCATGTAGTCCTACCCAAAATAACGTAACTCACTATATTTAATTAGCACGACTAGCGAAGAATCAAAACATATACCGCGAACCTCGTATGTTCTATACTATAAGCAGAAATTAGACAATTGTATAGATGGAGATTAAATGGCCAACGGCTCTGACTTATTACTAGTGAATGTATATGGTAAAAAATGAACAGTTGAGTCATACTTTTTGGTTACCTCATATCTCGGTGAGGATTTTCTGTTACAACATCGGGGAGTTGTGATAGCACAATACTGACTTTAATATTCTGATTGGGTGTGTAAAGTTGTAAACAAATTATATTTGTCTTTTTAATTCTCTTTATCCAAGCTAGTTTATTAGTAATTTATGGTTTCTCTCAGTGACTCATTGATAAGAGTAATTATTAAAAAAAGAATCATTTTTAAAATTTTTAATTCACTTCAAAACACAAGTCATCAAAGAGATTTCTTTTGGTAACTTCACTTCACATTTACACAGGGAGTTTATATATGCAGTGTTAATTGACAACAGCTGTCAGGGTCATAGTGGATTAGTAACAGAATACATCAAAATGTATGAGTAATGACAATGATTTGGAAATTGTGGATAATCCTATATAATAGGGGGGTGTTGACAACTAATTAGCTAAGTGACGAATAATCATTTGAAAATGATTTGTAGGAAGCGGAAGAACAAAGAATTAAAAATAAGTTACAAAGATAAAATTAAAAAAATAAATAAGACTGAAAAATAAGAAGGATCACGTCGAGTGTATCCTACAAAACTATGCGGTAAAACAAACATTTATCCAGCCTCTTTACTACCGTGGGTCTTAGTGTCAATTTTAGTTTTCTTGAATGGTTGTATAATGAACTCTATGTGGTCCGTTTTATTTCTCATTTTTATTTGTTCATTTTCGTTACCCATTTATAATCTTTTGCTTTTTATCAATTATTTCCAAATGAATATTCATCCATTAGCTAATTAGTTGCCAACCCTCCCCATTACAAGGAGTATTCAGTATATTTACACATTGTTATTAGTCATTCACTGGGTTAGCAAAAGAGTACACACATTTTGAGATAGCAGATGTGTATGTACATGTTCCCATATGCGTAGGGTTGCGAAATCTCTTTCAGGAACAATTTCTTTGAGTGGTAAAAAAAGAAGCATAGTTGTTATGCTTTCTTTAATCCTCAAAAAAGCGTACTGTTGAGTAATTTAAGTTTGCATATGTTAACTGGAGCCAAGGTTTCGAAATTTTGCTACCACTATTTTAAGGTAAACAGAGAGTTTATTTATTTTATACACTTGGTTCCCTTGATGAGTTTCAAAAAAGAAAAAAAGACCAGATTAGCAATATACAATGGGATCACTGTGCGTCAGTGGCACAGCAGTATAATGCTCGCCGACCACACAGGTGGTCCGGGATTCGATCCCCGACCGATGCACTCCTTTACCTCGGTAAGGGGGAAAGTTGGGCCTGAGGCTGGTAACTCCATCCTGTGAAGCTAATCACCACTGCTACAGAAACTTCAAGCCTCTTGCTTGAAGCCGTATTTTCCACTGGGAACGCGAAGGAATAAAAAATGGTGTCATTCTATTCCACAGGCTCTCATCAACTGCAAACTACCTGAAATTACAATGGTTATATTACAATGAAATTAGCATACTTCAGTGTTTGAATAATAGTAAAGAAAACGTTATGAAATCAACGCATCCGAAATATAAGCGTTACAATTCGCTTTAGTTTAAGTTGCCATCAATTTATATACTTTCAAAATAGAAAAGGAGGGGGGAGAGAAGATAGAAAATCTAATAAACAGTGTTAGCATGTAGGCTTACATAGCAACTCAAAAAGATTATAGTTCATAAAATTGAAAACCTGCTCAGTGAGTTGAAATCACTAATATGAATGACTAATCAATGTTATCGAAATGCAGTTTCCAAGGTAGCGAGAGACTGATTACACTCCCTTTCTGTATGCATAAGTTTGGTTTGAAGCGTTTGATTGCAACTGCTTCAGCAAATAGTAGTGAATTTGCTGTGCTTTGTATGTTTAATGTTTTGAAGAATTTGGAAATCTTGGCGAAATGACTCGTATCCATAAGGTGTCTGGTAACGTTGATTGTGTTTAAATAACCATCACTTACGATATATAATTGACATACTGGTTTTATTTTGCACATGAATTAACAATAGTAAGCCATAATCCTGTTCCGATGACCATGCTTTTATGGGCGCTTTTGCTTGATACAGTTTGTCTATTTTTTTCTATGAAATAGGACGCTATGTAGTATCGGTTAAATTTTTAAAAAAGTGCCTTCAGTATTGTACCTCACTTGTTTGGAGTTCTTATTCTAATAGTACTGATTTGTTTTTCTTCTGTTATTGTTGGACGCAACCATTATGTACAAAAGAAACCTGTATAAAATTCTTGTGAGCACGTTTAGTTTAGTTCATTATTATTATTGTTGTAATAATGATAGTAATTATTTTTTTGTTTTCATTATTATCGCAATCATTATTAATATTATTTCTAACATCTTTGTTATTATGTGCTCATATATTTTTTCGTTACAGTGTTTTCGCCCCACCTCGTAACTGTTCTGTATAAATTTTAGGAAACTTTTCCACACATGCATAATGATGAGAACACCATATATGTGTACATATGCGTATTGATTTTTGCTTATTTGGTAAGTTTGTCGGTCAAATACGAAGTATGACAATCAACTGAATTTTGCCAGTTGTACAGTTATACATATATATTCTTTTTTGCAAATAATAAAGCTTTCAGCTTAATTATCCGTTTTCACTTTTACTTTCGATTTTCTCCCTGGGACAACTGAAGTCGACAGGAGTCTTCCAACTAGTGCATCACAGTTCAGAGACTGCTCCCTCTTACTGGAGTTTGCATTATCAAAGTAGCGATAGTAACTTTCACAGAATAACCGTATGGTTCAGTACCCAATGGAAAGTATGCACACAGTAGCTGAGGCATTGTGCACGTAATCACTGTTTAAGTTGACGCCTGTTCGTGAAGCCAAGTGTTACTTGCGTTAAAAAGAATCAGATATTGAAAGAACTAAGATTAAAGATTTTTTCGCTCTCGTAAACCATAAGTTCTAATCAGTTCAAATTTATCATACCCTATATGAAATATATGTATCTAGATGACTCAAATTGTAAGTTTCAAGCAAACCGAATGAAGTGTACTGACTCCAGAGTACGCAAAACTTGTTCAGTGGATATAAATAGGATGAAAAAAATTGTAAGAGTAGACTTTTTGCTTCCGAGGAAATCGTCTTCAAATATCAATCTTCATGATGAATGGCACTTTTCCTACAGGTATGTTTCTAATTACTAATATGAAATAGCAGGTCCGATCACTAGCTGAGTCAGTTAGAGAATCATTGGAAAACGAGAGAGTACTGGACAGCTGTTTCATCCTACCTTGGAACTCTGCAGCAGTACACGCCCATCGCGGTCGGAGCCAGGACCTTACGGTTACAAGGCAAACTCAGACCATTCAGCTACTGGGACCCGGTCCTATGGCCCATGAATCCCATTTTCCGCCAATTCGGAATAGGTAGCGCAGCCGCTAGCCAGTGTCATCGACGAGTAATAATCCTCTTACCTGACATGGCGGAATTCGCTGGTCACTTCTCACTAATTGATGTTTATACGAATGTCTTTCAGTTTGAAGTAGCAACTTTGTCTTTCGTTTCATGGATATACACTAAGTTAACATAGCAGTTTATGAAAGGATAACTCCTATCTGTTTGTCATGTTTATTGCAAATGATCAAATCTTCGGTGCTCATACAGGCAAAATATTTTGTTTCGCAACAAAGACAGCAATATAACAAAATTCCATTAGCTATATGGAACATGACGAGGGAAAAATAGTAATAAAAAGGAAAGGCGTTCAGCGAAAAGTTGCTCTTTTGAGTGATATCATCCTCAAGCTGCACAAGATATATATATATATATACTTTATAACTCTGTTACACAAAAAGATTACGAGAATTTAAACAAGTAAGCTTTGTACTTAAATGAGACTATCGAATAACAGCGAACAGGATAACTGCATCCCATAGTTATATTTCATAATTCGCACGAGTGTAATCAGAGTTCTGCATACAGATAAAACAGTTTAATTTACAGAATAAGGTATGAATACATGAGTGTTTACTTCCACACGCATTCGATATCCTTGCCTGTAATTAATTAACATAAGGATAACCAATAAAATTGCAATGAATCATTTGAATTGTAAGTATTCATTCGAAGTGTTACTGGCATACCTGTAGGCTGAACTTACTAGTTATCCACAAATACTGACAGTTTCTTTCTGATTAGCTGTTAGATTGACTGTTAATTTGTACATTGTGTATGTGTAGATCACACCGCAGTTATAAGGTGGTGATTTGCCGCTTAAGGCAAACCTGCATTAGCTTTGCAACATGTCTGTTTTAACTATCCTGTCATTGAATATGAAATAGTCGAGCAAGTCAACGATGTTTTTTCCTGTGGCTATTTTATTTAGGGCAATAGAAAAGACTTATCAATTTCCGATTTCCACTTATTGATGTAATGAGATTAATATCCTCGTTTATCTGAAATATATACTAGCAGTTGAAAGCTGCTGATGTAAAAATAACCAAATCATTATATAGTAACACAAGTCCCTACTTTTTCTATTAGCAGTGTATCGACAGAAGAAAAATTCCAATGTGTGTCCTAGGAAGGATTTTATTCGTTCATTTATTTGAATTTAGTTTATTTCATGCAGAAAGTGTTATGTCTAGTGTCTTGGATTCTCTACAAATCATTGTGAATCGTTCTTTAGAAATATGGGAAAAAACTAATCAGTAAATGTTATATATCTTCCTAAACAAAAGCAATAAAACAATTCAGGTACCCAAAAATGTTGACACTATTTTGTTAGGTTTTTTGAGGGCATGCAAAGCACGTTAGCACGTTGTGAGTGATGAACATGAAGCGGTAAAATATAAAACTGGCAAAATGGGGAAAAAATTACAATTTTATATTGGGTTGGATTTTATACCCTAGCCTTTATGCGAAATAATATGGTTTTCGCATATATATGTATTCTGATGATAACCTCACTGTTATCTTTAAGAAGAGCCGGGTGCCTTGTAGCGCTTCGGTTCCTTTCGGATCTCCACCTCGTTTGGTGAGTCGGTATTAACTGACCATGTAGTACCGTAGTTGGCCTGTTAAACCTCTTGTCGGAGTGCTATGTCTAGTGTTCCAGGAGTCCTTTCAGGCTGTTAATTAGAGCACCATCTGCAATACAAGCCATCCCACTGACACCAAACTTCTTGCTACGGATGAGCTAGAACAAATTCCAACTGCTTCCAGATGCGGATGCCGATGTCATTTCACATGCACATACTGACCATCAGGCTTGATCCTATGATTGAGACTCTTTTGCATGTCGTTATACTTGGTATCTATCGGAATGTACCGATAGGCATCCAGAAGTCGCAAAGAACTCACAGAAACCCAGTGGTGTCAGGGAAGCATTCTTTTAAGCTGCAGGTGGCTTTGCTGGTCGTTTTCATAACGTCTTGCAGGTAGAGCTTATGTTTATCTACACTATTTCGGGCGGTAATAACTAGCCTTAAGTTTCGCTCACTGTGTTACGTCGCTGTTGTGGCATTTACTGTCAGCCTACTTACGTCAACCCGTAGAGGATAACGTTTACGACTACCACCAGATCAGAATATGAAGCTGTAACACACTAAAGCATGGTTAGAATGCAAACATGTGCTCCAGAAGGAAAAGCATTCCTGTAAGCATTCACGCCATTGGAAACTGGTAGCAATGTGATTGATTTGAATCCGGGCTTGGTTGGCAGACGGGGAGGACATCAGGTATCGCTACGGCGATGTCTTTGTCGGAGGTTGTTTCAGACTAGAAATGGGTTTTGATGTGCATAAAGCTGCAGAATACAGCCCCCATTATCTGACCTGCGATCATGTGGATCCCACTGACCAAAATAATTTTCCTCTGAGCCTAGTCACCCGGTCTGTGCGTCCAAAGTCTCCAGCTAGCACTACGACATCCCCCTGATGCGCCTGCTTCAGAAGCTGGCGCAACTGATAGTAAAACTCACCCTTAATTGCTTAGGGGATGCAATCTGAACATAGGTAGAGAAGACAGATAGGCGCTGCTTCTTGGTATAGTCTTCTAGCTTCACAACACATAGTCGACCCTAGTGCATACTGCGACATCAATGCCAGCTATGCCCAGTGCCGACGCTAGAGGGTCACTGGGTAAATATAGGTAATGCACACCATTTGAACTAGCAGATGGATATTCGAAGTGCTTCGTTGGCATCCTAAATGCAGCATATATCGTTTAGATTTGCCTCTTATACTGTTTGTTTCAGTGTTCGATAATTATAGGTGGCAAACTTGAACGCGACATGCGGTTTCAGGATAGCCGCGGTAGATATCGCAGTGTTGGTCAGCATTCTAAAAGCAATTAACTTGCAACGTTACAGATATATTGAGATTTCAAACAATAGCGAAAGTGAAGACTCCAGAAATAGTGAATGTGACGAAATTATAACGAAAGTTTATCTATAAAATTAAAATCAGGAAGGATTCTGTTGATAGAAATATGATTGAAGGAGTATTGTGGGGTAGTGAGTACACGAGTATAGTTTCCCATTGATACTTTCATGATTTTTGCGAGGGCCGAGATACTCCCTTGAGTGAAGCAAGCGGTTGTCTTAAGAAACCACTCCCAGAGTCTTTCACTAGAAGTGTGATCTACAAGGCAGCGGAGAAGAATTTCTATGGTTGCCAGTATCCAAAACAGGTCCCTTCGGATTCTGGGACCCATGTACTTTATAGACTTAGAATGGGGATTTTCCAGCTCCCCTAGGTGGGCTTCTGTGTTTCCAGTCCCATTGTAATTTTCAGACATTCATTCGCTGGCTGCTTACCTTAGCTATTTAACACACTTTTTAATGAGAATCTCTTAGTGATATTGCTGTATTTCTCTTTAGTGAAGGGAGAAAATATTGTCTTGATTACACCCTTTCTACATTCTCGACTTCTTATTTCATCAGTCATATGCTTCATAGGTACATTAGGTTTATGGAGCAGCCCACCTAACTTTTTCCTAATGTCTATACCGGTATTTCATGCAAACGCAAAAATATCTGACCAAAAATTAACCTGTCAAATCAATCTATATGGAAAATGAAAGGTCAATTAATAAAATGATAAGGGATTTAAAAGCAACAGTTCATCCTTTTGAAGTTGAGTGACTAAGGGTAATTGGCATGAAAGGTTTGATTTTTCATAACAATCAACTCGTAGTACTAGTGAGTGAATAATATCAAAGTGTGAATGAAATTTATGATTAGATGTGTAGTTTATTGTACTGTCAGTGTGAAATCATAATATTTTTATCTATACTTATATTAAAATAAAAAGCGGATAATAGTTAATTTTTTACGATTAGTTGTCAAGATTATTATAGTATTGGTTACGCTAATTGTGTTAGAATTTTTCTTAAGCGTCAATTTTATGTGAATCAACTACATAAATCGTCCTATGAACTCAGCAATTTACGTTATACATTAATATCCGAAAATATATCAATATCTTTTGATTAACAGAATTAGTTATTATCAAAGTATAGTAGCATTGTACATCTCAATAAACTCCGGCTGAACGTTTTTCTATATACTTTATGTACACGTTAAATTTCCATTAAATTTGATGTTTTTCCTCCGTTGAACAGTTAACACTTTTCCTATTCTGTTTCGTTCATCGCTGTCATAAGTATTGTAGTTGCAACCATATCATCGAGTCATTAAAAATTTATATCTGTTTACGAAATTTAGGCTTTAGGCAGATGTCACATCAAAAGGAATATGCTAAAGTACTTATTTTAATTTCAGTCTGCACTCAGATTATTGAAATTCAAACAATACTACAGGCTTTATTTGACGTCTCATTTTTGTGTTCATCTTATCTAAGATATCAATCACTGATATAACTTCTCTAAGATTTTTATAGGTACTAAATATGTCAACTTAATTTTTTTTCCAACATATTGTTTTGACATGCAGTCTTCATTAATTTTTCAACACTTACTCGGCTACCCAGATAATGAGTACAAGCCTAACTAATTTAGTCTTTAAGCATAGTCATTGTAATTAATCTTCAAGAAGTAGATGAGAACTTTATACTAGTACACAGACTTGTATGTGATTGATCCAAAGTTACATATTGGATTTAAATTTATAGACAGATGAATAAACGCCTTTAACCACTTATGATACAATGGTAACCAGCTATACAATCACGACTGTTGCCATTTGTATAATTCTGCCTGTTTTTCATCCGAAGTCATCATAACAAGATTGCTTGTCTGAAAAGTGATTTGTACAACGAACAAAGTAAGGATAACTTTGTACTGCTTGAGAAATTCAGTTACTTTATGTAACAATGTTACACAACCTAATGTAATACTTTTATTTTTCAGGATTTCATCATGAACTGACATCAGTTAGAGAATCATTGGAAAACCAACAGGGAGTACTGGACAGCAGTTCCGTCGTAGTTTGGGACTCCTCAATAGTAAGCACCCGCTGAAGTCCGGTCACAAGGCGAGCTCGTAGACCATTAAGCCACTGCACACAGTGAAGAGTCCCAAATTAGGATGGAACAGCCGTCCAATACTCCCTGTTGGTTTACCAATAGTTCTCTAACCGATGTCAGTTCATGATGAAATCCTGAAACCAACACGCGAATGCTTTTCTGTGCTGAATAGTTAAATCTTATTTTCTCATAGTGTGTCATAAGTCTCCTTATTCTAGTTTATTGTACTTAGCCCACTTCTAAATCTATTGTGGCTACCTTATTTGTATAATTCCTATATTTAAACGAAACTGGAATGCTGCATTATGGGTAAGATTTTATTTTGATAAATCTTATCCATAATGAAACATCTTAATTTCTTCAAAGATAACAGGTTATTTAATATCGAAGATTTCAGGATACTTGTCTCCATACTATTCAAGTTTACTAAACATCACAAGGTGTATACATCTATGTTTCACTGTTGTACTTGTTTATAACTTATAATAGTTGATTGATTTTTCAGCTGTCAAGTTAAAATAAATAATAATGAGGATTTTTGCCATAAAGCGGTCAAATAAACTGTCTCAACCAGAGGTGTTACTTGTTGAGTTGAGTGTAGAAACTAGGCGTCTACGCCTAGACAGTTGGTTGAAATATTTGTTTGTAAAACAGTAACTGCTTCCTATATCTCTGAGTGAGTCGTACTCTGCCCGCAGAATTTCGCCATACCCACAGTTAATTCATGTCTCACTGAAACACTCCGTTACACAAACAAATACTATTAAGAACAGTTTTTTATAAAAATGTCAAGGTGTCTTTGTTGCATGCCTCTTCAGTAGATACATGAGGTGAGATCATATTAGAATACTAGATGAACAGAAGATGTAGTTCATCGACTTCAGCCAACAGGCCCTCGACTCATTCCTTGCTCTATTTCGCTTTAACTGTATAGTATTATCGGTCCCCATATAATAAACGTAACTTGTACCCTGGTACATGGGAAACCTGTTCCGGCTAGCTGAGTTCTAACAAACATCTTGCACCCAATATTCATTATTATTATTACGACCTTAAACAGTAATGAAATTTGGTTCAAAACCAATTCGTTGAAACGAAATATCACAAAAGCCCCTGCTTAGAACTCCTCTTGTATTCGCCAATATTCGGTAGAGATTTCAGAGTTTTATAGGCACTACTAACCATTCATACTGCTTAGTCATTATTCTCCCTTGAATTAGTTAGCTAAAGACGATTGTGAACAGACAAAGTCCAGTGAAGAAATGTATCCAGGTGCGATGGTTCTGGTAGCACGTTTCACTGTAGTAGCGTACAAATCCCAGTGATCTCAAGACAAAATGACTGGAGAACTGTTGGACTCATTTTAAGAATAATATACTAGGAGCCCGTTGAAAGTGATGGCAGAGGACCGAGTGTAATGGGGATATGCCACTGAAGCTCTAAATTCCAACGAAAGAATGAGTAACAGTTACATATTACTGTGCGTCTAACTCGTAGATCTATCACTTGAGAGAAATTTTAAGTACAGAATTATCCGGTCACTCTACAAATAGCATCCACCGATGTAAGACATGGTGTAAACTTAATATTCAAATACAAAAAAGTCAAGTTAGTAGAGCTTATTTGCATAGTTTTGTTTTTTACAGAAAGTAGTGGTTAATCAAGTTAAAGATAGAGGCCTTCAGGTGTTCCTTCACTTTTTCTATAAAGAACATTTTCTTTCGCCTTTTTGAAGTCTTCGTCAGTAACTTTCATACGCCTTTCCCTTAGAGCCAATAAACCAGCTTCAGTACAGATAGCCTAAGCACAAAAACAAAATTTACAATAAGAGCCAATCAATATACAAACAATATACAATGACTGAGTTATCTATGGTGGTTAATTGTGTTTAGCAGAACACTGGTATCGGTTATCTATTATTCGATAAAAATTAATTAAAACAACAGGGGTGGAAAGCTTACTCGTCTAAAAATTCCCATCACAGCTTGCTAATCAAACATTATTATTTCCATCTACAAAATCAGCTAACGTCGTAAATACATCCAAGAGGATTATTTAGATGATACTGCACAAACATCTTGAACTACTATACTGACTTTCAAGCATTGTGTGACGCTACTTAAAGTCCTCAAGTTCACTTCAGCCGTTATGAGAACCACGGCAAAGACATCAACATTATTCCACACACTTGAGACAGACAGTCAGAGACTTCATGGATTACCTCCAAAATATCACAAAGTATAAGGTTTACACAAGCTAATCCTATAATCGTAAACAACACCTAAAGCAAACGTCTTTTTTCAAACAGCCAAGTTATTATTTACTGTAGCTACTCCAAGTTCTTTCGCGATATCTTCTTTGTACAAAAAACAATGACAAAAATCAACGGGAGAAATGCCGAATATCACATGACCAGAAATGATAAACAACAAGGAACTCTGGTTGTGCAGCGAAGAATCTACTTCCCAACAAATAGGCAAAAGGAAATGGAGATGGATTGGACATACGCTCAAGATATATTTGGCCTTGCACTCCGTTCAGAACGCAGGAAATGAACAATAAATAATAAGTGTTTAGTCTGTAAGCTTCTGTAGTTGGATATTTTGCTGACTATGGGGTCAAAAAGCATTACTAGTAACCTTATGGGCTTCTTTTGGGTATTCAAATGAACCCAAAAATTATGTTGACAAAACGTGTTCACGACATTAAGTATTCACATATGATAAAACCGTAATTTCTCTATCGCCTGATAAGTAACTCAATTGTATATTCAGACAAGATAACAGAATGACTTCTAATATCACTACAAAATGCTGCTCAACACTAAACTTAAGCACCTTAGACTCTCAACATACTTCCTTGAATAGAAAACTGTCTCACCTTTATATCTGCACCTGAGAGTTCATCCTTAGAAGCAACATATTCTTCTAGATTTACATCCTCTGCTAAGGTCATGCGGCTTGTATGAATACTGAAAATACGACGCTTGGTCTTTTCATCAGGAAGAGGAAATTCAATTTTGCGATCGATTCGGCCAGGTCTGATTAGTGCAGGATCCAATGTTTCGATTCTGTTAGTAGCCATAATAACTTTTACATCCCCTCGAGAATCGAAGCCATCTAACTGGTTGAGTAATTCTAACATAGTTCTTTGTATTTCACGTTCACCGCCTGAATTGGATTCATATCTATACACAATACAATGAAGAAACTTTTCTGGTTATAAGAGTCTATCACAATGCGTAAACTTTAGCAAAGAAAACAGGAAATATATAAAAGTGAGGAAAACCAAAATACTGTTCATAAAGACTAATTTGCAGTACTTACATGAGATACTACCAGAAGTCCAAGGTGAAGTTAAAATCAAAATTACGGTCATTAATACTACATTGAAGTACGGATGCAACACGCCCCATGAGAAATGACATGATTAATATATATGTGAAATTCGGGCACTGAAGTATTCATTCCAAATTAGTGTTTATTAGATATATGAAATAGTGAAACAGTATTATTTACTGGATGGCGTTTCGAACACAAGTTATTGTTCACAATCATATCAATTGTAATCACACGACTTCGAAACTTGAGTTTTATAGTTTTCTTCTTTCTCCCCTATTTATCGTAGGGGTAGTCGATTTTTCGAGATATCTGGGACAAGTGTTGAATCATTCCTATTACACGTATTCGCAGTTTATTCGATAAACAAAGCTACTGTTATCAATCTCTCCCTCCACCCTGTTACATTGGATTTTAAAACTGTCATCTTATTCCATCCTATTGCATGCATAGTTGTGTGTAATTGCATATAGTGCTATCTTTTTCGGGTCAACTAATCTAAATTTTGCTAGGCTTCTACGCTCCGCTAGTTTAACTGTCCCTTTTCTACTACTTCGACCTATGTATTTGACCTGACAATCATTGTAGGGTATTGGATAAACTAAATTGTCTTGTTTTATTGGCTTCACAGGATCCTTCAACCGATAAAGCTTGTTTCTCATTGAGGCATATAGGAAAAGCTTTGAAACTTAATAATTACCCTCATGAATTAATCAGGAAGTATTTAGGAAAGTGTAAAAATAAGATCAATAATAGTAATGGCAGTGATAATGATAATAATAATAATAATAACATTAATGACGACATGCATGTCAAACATGCGCAGGATAATGACAACACCAGTAGTACTTCCAAACAAAGAAGGAACCTCGGAAACCTCACGGAGAATTCTTAACAATGCAAGAACAAAATTGGCATTCAAACCCACATACTCAATGAGAAACAAGCTTTATCGGTTGAAGGATCCTGTGAAGCCAATAAAACAAGACAATTTAGTTTATCCAATACCCTACAATGATTGTCAGGTCAAATACATAGGTCGAAGTAGTAGAAAAGGGACAGTTAAACTAGCGGAGCGTAGAAGCCTAGCAAAATTTAGATTAGTTGACCCGAAAAAGATAGCACTATATGCAATTACACACAACTATGCATGCAATAGGATGGAATAAGATGACAGTTTTAAAATCCAATGTAACAGGGTGGAGGGAGAGATTGATAACAGTAGCTTTGTTTATCGAATAAACTGCGAATACGTGTAATAGGAATGATTCAACACTTGTCCCAGATATCTCGAAAAATCGACTACCCCTACGATAAATAGGGGAGAAAGAAGAAAACTATAAAACTCAAGTTTCGAAGTCGTGTGATTACAATTGATATGATTGTGAACAATAACTTGTGTTCGAAACGCCATCCAGTAAATAATACTGTTTCACTATTTCATATATCTAATAAACAAAGTAATTTGGAATGACTTCATAACTTTCAAAAACAAGGATATTTACATGAGTCACTGCTTAATATTCAGAGGTGAGTATGACCCAAATGAATACAAAACAATGAATGGAAAACTACTACACAGGTTCATTACATCAATAAACAGCAAGATATGACTAACAAGAAAAAAAAGATAACTGAGACAGGATTCTTAACATTTACAAAGGTCCAAAGAATGCATGTATTAATATATGTGCAACCTATTTTAAAAAGAATCAACCAAGGAAATTTGTTTCTTAAGCGTGTAAAACAGTATATATATATATATATATATATATTGATGTTGTAAAACTAGATTAGAGAATCCTACTAAAATCTATTCCAGAAGCGCCACGATGACACTCCCCATTATATTTTACTTTATATTGCAAGCAGTTTATTTTTCTGTGCGTCTTTTTTGGTGTTTGTTCATTTCAATATCGTTTTCTGAAGAGAACATAAAAATAGCGATAAACAGTAAAGCTGCAAAATTAAGGCAAAGCAGCCCATAAACGTTTTTTTATGACACTACATTTAGTAATCTCCGACTAAATAAGTCTTATGAAGTAGATTTGGTGAGTGAGCACATGTAGTAAAAGTCTTTACAACATCATCCAGCTGCTAAAATTTCTTCATTAAGATCACAGTTCAGGTCTGAAACCTAGTGAATAGAATTCAGGTACATAGATTCATAAAACACTGACGCGTGTATAAAATCACGTTAACTGCAGTTCATGTAGGAGAAAAAACAAAAAACTGGCGTTAAAATCTGCAAGTCAGAAGGTCTATACTTCCAACTTATTAATGCATGAACTTCATATTTTTAGAGCTCTGAATAACTAACCTTTTCGTTCCGACAGCATCAATTTCATCAATAAATACAATACTAGGTGCATTTTCCTCCGCCAGCCGAAACAATTCACGAACCAGTTTCGGTCCATCCCCCAAATACTTTTGGATTAATTCTGAACCGACGACACGTAGAAAAGTAGCTGAAGTTTGATTAGCAACTGCTTTAGCCAATAACGTTTTGCCTAAAATGAAAGAGAAATGACATCCACATAACTGTTTGGAAGACAGAAGCCTGAATTACTACATAACAGCCTCCCGAATGTGTGCACGGCATTTCCATGCATATCTCATAAACACAAAATCAAATTCACTCTGCCATTTAATTTCGCTACCAATGGAATAGACGTGATATTAACCACCTGCCAAAAGAAGGGTGTGCTGCGTAATACTGTTTACCTATCCTTCCTCGTGGTTATGAAACATGGCCATTGAAAGTAGAAGACTTGAAGAGGCTAGCTACCTTTGCTTACAGATGTTTGCGTTTTATCTCTCGTGTCAAGTGGTATAAGACGGTGAGTAATATTGAGCTTAGGCATGTCAAGCAGGGATGGAAGATAAGTCGTTGAGGCTGTGGACCTTCATCGAGTGAAGTGGCTAGGACATGTCCTACTCATGCCAGTTGATTACTTTCCTTGTCGACCAATGTTAGTTGAGACAGGATCGGACTGGAAAAGAATTAGGGGTGCTCGAGTTAAAACCTCACATTAATCCATGAAGTCTCTGACTATTGATATAGACTGCCTGCACGGGATCTTCGAGACGCTTGGAGAGATTTCTCGGAATCATACACAATGGTGTAGATGTATTCATTCAGATCCATCAAATTCTCACTTTTCTCCAAGCAATTATTCTTTCTCTTATGCATATACGTTTATTACAGTTTCTGGCTTTTTTCTTTCCCGACATTCACCTATGCTTTCATGTTGTGTGGTAATATGAACTACTCTACTTTGACTTACAGAGCATTAGAGCAAATTTATACTTACACGGGACTGTCAGTTATGTCCCTAAATTGTAGAAGACGGGATGAAACAGAAAAAACAGACAGCTAACACGGGCAAAACCCTGTAATAAAAACTGTAATTTGCGTTGAAAATACTACACCACGACAAATGAGAGTAACTTATCCGTTTACACTTTCAGGTTCCAACTAGTAGGTGCGGAATTTAAACTCTACCCACCATCATCTGTTGGAAAGATAGTTGAGTACTGTAAATTGTGGTTCATAGCTTAGTACTTAAAAGCTTACTGGATAACCGAAACGTGCGACATTAGCCACCTCGCACAAAGTAGGTAAGCATTAATTAGCAGCAGAAGGTAGACCACATATCCAGTACCAAGGGAATGAAACAGACGAGCAAATGCAAGTAGAAGTGCTCACAGTTTCGGAGATAAGGTGAACGCAGTATACCTGCACTGATAAATTTTAGTAACCAATTCATGACATCTCACTCAAAATGTACAATTTGTTGCAGCTTTAGTCACACACACACTTCATAGTACCAAACATTATCACCAGTTATGTGCCACACAAATAGCCACCATTTTCAATATGTTCTATCACCTGATTTATCATTTCTCTCAGTATAGGGCTTAAGCCGAGACAAGGAATAAAACTTGAGTTTGTAACTGATATAATTAGCTTTATGTAGGCAGACGAAATTATTTTTAATCATCACAAGTTTTCCCAACCTTATTTTCCTTACTAAGGTTCCTATAAGCCCTGCTACTTTTAACTGGATTGTTCAATATCATTATAACACTGGAGTCATTTGAATATGCTTAGCTGATCACTGAAGAAAACAGCTAGTCATTCGTGAAAAACATGAGGCAAAATAGCAGTCTTACCTGTTCCAGGTGCGCCATATAAAATTACACCCTTTGGGGGTTTAATGCCCATTTCTTCATAAAGTTCTGGATGTGTTAAAGGTAGTTCAACTGACTCTTTGATTTCTTGAATCTGAACATCAAGCCCACCAATATCTGCATATGTCTCTTGTGGGGCTTTTTCTAGCTTCATGACTGTCACCATAGGGTCAGTTTCATCTGTCAGAACGCCAACAACAGCATGAACCTAAGTAACAAGAATGACGGACGAGACCAAAACATACCTTGTGATTTAATAATACAGAACATCCAGGCTCTAGCATACCCTTATCAACGAAAGAAAGTATGCTAACATAGTGTTCACTACCAACAGATGTTGATACAACAACATGATTGTCATCAATTATCTCTTCCAAAGTTCCCACAGACATAGGTGTGCCGCGTAAATCATCTACTTTTGACCTTTCTTCCTAAAGAATGTTTCGAAATGTGACGCAAAGTACCTCATGACGCTCTTCGTCTGTTTTCAACCTTTCTTGGTTCTTGATAAATTCTTCTTCCATGAGTAAAAAGTCTTTTATTCGTTCCATTTTCAACAGTCGAAGTTTACACCGCGTATGCGGGGTAACCTGAGGCAACTTGTTGGCACTATCAGGTCCTTTGGACCGCTTGTGTTTACCCATTCTGGTGGGCACTGGGGGGTCAAATTCTCTTCGTTTGGTCTGGTACTATGAAGCATTTCAAATTATCACTTACCTTATCATCTTTCTTATTTCCTTCTTGACTTGATTGTTTTTGCCCCTGAAAGCCACGAAATGAGCAGAAAAATTACAAACCATTAATCACAGTGAAAGAGGAACCAATGGAAGGGAGTATCTCAGAAATTGGAGATATGTAGCGCAAAGGAGTCCACACAAATCTATGCGACCGAACACACTAAGAAAATCGCTTATACAGTGCGCCCATTTTTCAATTTTCCATATTGGAGAAAACACTAAACACTAAATCCTAATTTAGTTTCTTCTTGAATATCACGACCTAGTGGAAATAGCATACAGATGCTTTTCTCATCATGTGAAACAGTTGCTGCCTCATTCCAAACTCACTCCTACTTCGTGAGTACTCTAGGTTGCTAATATGACAAGGACATTAATACATGAATTGTTTGTATGTCACGGAATTTGTGTGAATTTATCAGGGTGCTAGGATAAGTTTCTTTGATATGATTTAAGGCAATAAACTGTACTCGGAACGCCACCAACAAGTAGGTGAAGCTGCATCATTATTTGTCATACAGAATAAATTCATTCTCGTGACCTCAGTTCTCCATTTGCAGACTCCTTTGAGTCACCAGGAACAAAGCAAGTCTCAACTTTTGGGTCCAAAAGGTACAAGGAACACTAGGTTCACAGGTTCTGAGCAAAACCAGAGGGCCGCGTTGCGCAATAACTCAGCATTCCTTACTTATGACAAGATTTCTCAAAGATGTTAGCACATTAACAGGGACAGCAAAAACCCACTTCTGCCCTGGGGAGGAAGGCTCACTCATTGTCATAAATGTAGAAAAAGTGAGCCTTTGAAAAAGATACCAGACAATTGCAACCATAAGTATAATGGCTGCAAATATTTGGGTCCACTTCTTGCCCCAGTCTCTCCTAGGTACAGATCACCACCAGACATTAATAATGGAGACACATTCGCCAACTATGTTGCAGCGAAATTGCCCATTTTTCCTCGGTTTTATGACGTGACCTTCCTCATACAGCAGCTGCCAGCCACTGTGCCTGCCCACTGACGAATATTCATGGGTTAATAGACCCCATAGTGTTTGATGAATATTAAAAGCCCATTTTCACGACACATATAATCCGCCTTTATTTCTGTTTTACCTTCCTAAGGCAGCCAAACTATCATGCTCTTATTTTCTGGCACATATACTGATGTACATTAATTGTCATTTTATGAGGATAAAATAATTAAAACTCATCGACTACTTCAAGCAAGGGGGACTGCACTGTTCAATTTGCCATGGTATCTTATTTTATTTATTTTTTTATCTTTTTATTTTGATTTACAGCTTGATTCCACACCGTATTTTCAGTACAAGTATGGAACTTTCAGCATGGATATCGGTAGCCCAAATTCAGGCTGACCATAGATATCGGGTGTGCGCCGGCAGGGGATCGAACCCCGGACCATGTGCATGGTCGGCGGGAGTCCTAACCACTGTGCCACGGACGCACACTAACACTAGGTCCTGTATGAATAAGATGCCATACTTTTAACCCCGTGATGCTAGCTTCAAACATTTATAATCACTGGGGCCAGGTGTATGTCTTAATTAAATAGAAAATTCCTACAATGCAAGGGACCTTTATTCTTAAGAAAAACATTCAGATTTGTCATGGTACGCTGTTTCATTACAATTAGGCTGTCGATTCGGACCTAATCTCGGTACTCATGGCACAGTAGACAGCTCCTCATGTCACTTGAAGAGTCGGTCCTTCACTAGGTTGCCTCATTCGTCCTGCTAACCACGACTGTGGGCCGACAAGTGAAAATTACAGCACTTCATTATACTTCGTTAAAATTAGTCCACAAAACCACTGGATGCAGTTTTAACATGCCTAAGGCCACCTGATAACCGGTCTGTACAGGGGCCTTTTTAATGAAAAAGAATCATACAGGTGGACATAAAGGGTTCCAAAGCCTTTCTAAAATAATAGTATTCTATAGCCCTGTAGCGGTAAACAGTTCCCCAAAATTACTGGCCACAGCACTCATCACTGAACACTGGATGCTGTCCCTCACTATTTAAGTGAACTTGTTTAGCTGAAGGCTTCCGGTCAAGCATCCAGGTCATTTGGTACTCCGTCGTATCCCGTTCGTTCATTTTTCATGCATGATCCCTAGCTAGCTAAGCAATCATCTCACACTCTGATTTGGTTCCGAAATATATCTCGGTAACTTGGACGATGAGCTCTTGTGTTTTGCTTTGCCTTTGGTCTACGCGGAAGGAATACTAAAGAAGTTGTGGGTATTAGATCTTGCGTTAGTATACTTCTTACTATCCGTGAACGTCAATACAGTCAGCCTCTAAAGTTTTTTTAAGAAACACCCTCCCATCTACCAAATGTGTGGTTCACCTAGTTCTAAGAGGAATCTACAACAGCGTCATCCACATCAGATCTAAACACCGTTCGTAAGAACAATCTATTTTCCCACACCAGTTAGCTTCAGATAATCAGACTGCAGTAAATCTATTCATCTCAAATAATGCCTAGGCTGGGACATGTAACCTTGAATCAATGACTTTGAGGAGCCTGCACAACACCGTGTACTTCCGTCACTCATGCAGTATGTAAATGAGGGATTCAGAAGGACGGAATCAACAGACAATTAGGACCTCTATCTTCTTTATATCTTGTAAGCCTTTCTCTATCTATCGGATGATGAATCCCCTTCCGTTTGTTTGACTAGGTACCACGCGCTTTACATCCACCTGCCGTGCTTTCGAAAATTAATGTTCATAAATACCATTGGTCTTCCAGAATATTACGAGCCGTCGGTCAGTAATTTGAATAATCATTTTGATAGAAAAATCAGTTTCTGAGTTCGTGAACCTGTTTTGTTCACATTTTGCCTTCTATTCTATATATGTGTTTTGCATTTGGATTTTTCCACTAATATGAACTATTCAGTTCAATATTTTTTATTCATTACAATATCTCATTTGCCAAACACAGAAACTGACTTTAAATCTCTGCTTCTGCAGAGGTGGATTTTTTGGTAACTGTCAAAGTTAGGTTACCTGAATTTGATCGGCATGACTCGGATCTTTGGTTTGCTCAACCAGAGCACTACTTTTATCGGTGTATCATTAAGTTATAAAACCACCAGGTATAGAGATGCGTGCTCTCAGCTACCTTATGGGATTAGCAGCGGGGTGCGTGACATTAAGCTTCAGTCCCTCAATGAGCAGCCATACATAGTGCTCAGGTGTGGGGTGACAAAACCAGCATATACAACGGTTGCTTCGGGTCCTTGTGCTACATGCAACTAGCACAAATACAGCTAACACAGAGTAGATGGAGTAGATTGTCGAACACAGCGTGTTTTTCGGTGGAAGAGTCGACCCAGACAAACTTGATCAACAAGCCAATTCTGTTTGTATCACTGGAGGTTTGGCGTGCAGTCAACAAAACACACAACCATGTGCTCTGCCCAAACTACCTCACAATCAGCGGGGAAATGATCAACTCCTTCTCAGCAGTCGCCACCTGAGATGGGTCCCCGGACAGTCTCCTGTAGTATGTCAGGGAGAAAAACCCTGGCACGGAGTTCCTGATTGATTCAGGAGCCGCACTCACTACCATACCAAAAGCGAACACCGAGCCAGGATCATCACGCAGCAGGCCACTAATAAAACCCAAATCGTGACATTCCGGCAAAAAACACTGACGTTTGACCTCAGGTTTAAGTGACAGCTTTCATAGGTGTTCCCTCTTGTCTATTTATGCCAAGAAACCATCAGTAAAATCTTTCTGGTAAGACATGACCTACTACTGAATATTCGGAAGACACATTTAACAATGAGGGAAATCTCCTGGTATGCGAGCGGCAAAGAGAGCGAACACCATGTGTCAATTCTAGTCCAACTCGCTCCAGTATCAACCGTAAGATTCCCGAAAATACTTGTGGGATTCCTAGCTCTGATGACAACCAACTCCCAGAAATTACTCGTACTAGAAGGTCATATGGTCTTCAGTGTTCGTTAAGCCAAAAACATTGGCCCCGGACATGCTAAGATCAACGAAAGCTGAGTTTCGTCTCACACTTCTGCTGCAGATTATTCGGCTTTCGCGAAGTCAATGGTCTTCACCGTTACACATGGTACCTAAGAAAAAATAGAGTGATTGGCACTCTTTTGGTGATTACAGAGTCCTAAATGAACAAACCATCCCGGACAGGTTTCCAGCCCCACAGATTCAGGACTTCACTAACAGCCTTCAGGGTGCCACAGTGTTTACTTAAATTGACTTATTGATATAATATCTGTAGTGGAGTTAAAATTGGCTTGGTTCGCTCCTATCACAATATTCCGAAGATAAGCCGAAAATAGCCATTACAAACTCCATTCGGATTGCATTAGTTTGTGCGGATGCTAATTCGTCTCAGAAACGCTGCACTAACTTTCCAGGGACTTATGGATGACTTGCTTCGTGAATTGCCGTTCACCGAAGCACACACAGCAGATCTGCTCATCACCAATCCAGGTATAAACACATGATCACATTCGGACAGTATTACGCAAACCAGAAGGCAGTGGCATGACAACCAATCATAGGAGGTGCTTTTTGAGGGCAGGAACAACAGAACTCATGGTGCATGTAATTGACAATACTGGGATCTCTACAATGCCCAAAGAGGGTGGTGCCATCAAGCAGTGCTCCCTACCCACATCCCTGATACAACTCTGGAGTTTTCTGGAGTCGATCAGTTTCTATCGACGATTTATAACTAATTGCGCGGAATACATGCAGCCCCTGAACGATGCATCAAGGGGAAAACCAAAAGAGTTTCAGTTGTCAAAAGAGGTATCCGACACAATTGCACAGTAGAAAGAAGCGTTGGCGAAATGCACAACCTTGAAATATCCCAATCCAAATGCTCCCCTTGCGTTAATGGTAAAACCATAATATGAGGCTGTGTGAGCAGCTCTAAACCAGATAGTAGAAAACAGCTAGGATCCGATAGCATTCTTCTCCGAACAGCTTAATCCTACAGGAACGAAATGTCCTACTCTTAGTAGAGTTTCTAGCAATATAACTAGCAGTTAAACACTTTTGTCGCATGGTAGAAGCCAGACCATCCACTCTATACCCAGCACAAGCCTCTTACTTACGCGCAACGCAACGATGGACAAATACTCACCACGTGAAATTCGTCATGTTGACTTCATATCACAGTTTACCGGTGATATCAGACAAGTGAATAGGGGATAACTATGTAGCTGATGTACTAACCAGAATGCATGTGATTAAACCGAAACAACAAAAACAACAGCAGACTTCAGAGCACTGGCCGGATATCAAAGGAAAG